TTAGAGATTTACTGCTAGACGGATAGTCCATTTGAGCATTTTTCCAGATTTTTCTATCCACAACTTATATTAAATACAAATTTATAAATGTTTGCAAAATTTCAGATATTACCAGATTTCAAGAAATATCTCTTGGAATACGATGTCTAATATTTTTAGTATTTTATTTCTGCGATTCCAGCAGATGGAAATTGATGAAAAAATTCAAAGATGAATTATATTGTACTGACAATTTTTCTCAATTTTCCCATCCACAATGTAGATTAAATAAAAACTCATAGCCTAAAGGACAGGTTCGGTACTGCCTTCATTCTCGAAGACTAATTATCACCGAAAAGGACACGGGAAATCATTGTCCTTTGGACCCGTCGATCCTAAGACAGGCCATTTTTCCATTCATAGATATTCCTTCCAAGTGATTTATCTACAATACTTCCCCATTGTGTGTTTCTCACATTTACTCTGGAAACATAGGAAATTTTGGAGTTGAATATTTCAACCGAACAAGTTAATGGTTACGTAATTATCTGAATCATGCTCTCGTTCATCGCTATTCGCGAGCTAAGGAACAATTTCAAGAGACACATGACTTGTGAAGTGAGTGAGACTGTTTTTATTGAGAACGACACCTAAAGGAAGAGGGGGAAAGAAAAGAGAGAGAAAGCGTGTGTGTGATGTGTGCACGAAAAGATGTAAAGGAAACGCGAACCAAGTTTGTAATTCATTATTACAGCTTATTAATGTATAAATATAGTATTTAAGTATAGTATTTAGCAGCAAAGTATAGAAGTGATTACATGGTCCCAATTCTCCATGACTAATGCTTGTTAGTTGGAAACAGTAAAAAGGAATTCCCAGGTCATAAAATGTACAGCTTGGGACAATGACTCTACAATCTCCATCTGTTTTCGATTGTGTTAGTTTCCCCCCGTAGTCGGCGGGTCGAAAGAGCAATTCTTCTCCCCATTATATAACAAATTTAGAAATGTATTATTATACAAGAATTCTTTCAAATTTTCCACATACAGATTTTTCCAAAAATTTTTCAAATTTGTCACAATTTGTGTTAAATAAGAATTTATAAAATTTGTGTATGCAAATTTCGAACAATTGCCAAATTTGAAGGAATGTAAATAATGCTTTCATTATAAATATATTTTTATAATAATATGTAAATAACATATAAATCAATTTCTCAATGTGCAATAGAAAATAAATGGAAACTATTGAACATATATTAATAACATGACCAATATGTGCAACAATTAAGTAAAAAATGCTGACAGACATGGATTTAGAAATAAGAGGAGATATGAAACTAAGGACGTTCTGCCTGAACGAAGAAGATTAATAAATAAACAAATTAACAAACAAGCGTATTTATACAGTTTTCATGATAAGTGCTTGCGATAATCTGACAAACAAATATTTTAAAGTTGATCAGCTATACTTTGGATTTTGGATTGGCTATACATTACAAAAAAAACAGTTGGACAGAAAAATTTTTTCTTACTATTGCCAAGGTCACCTTCATTTTTTTAAATGCCACTTTGTATTTTTGAGTTAACAATATTATAGCCCGTATCAAAACGAATTCAGCGACCTAGATACCATGACCTTCAGATGACCTTGAAGGCAAAGAAATGAAAATTTTGATAAAAAAATGAGAGTCTGCTTGAATAGGTAATAACAAACTTGTATTTATTATTAAGACTCGTAATTA